ATTCATGGGGAGATATTCCTAATGCACGACTGCCATTTGTTCCTTACAAAGTGCTCATCAGTTGTAAGGTGCCAACCGTGGTTGGTAAAATCATTTGCTGGTTGTAATGGAGACTTGGCATCGAATCTTGCCTACACCTGGGTTTGGGGGATGGGCTACCCCCTCGTGTAACCCCTTGGAGCAAAAAAAAAAAAAAGTGCTCATCAGTCCCCACAGGGAGTCGAGATCTGCTCCTCACACCAGCCTAACAATGTGTCCTGACCACACATTGGGAACATCTCATATCCCTGTATTTATTATTCATGCAAGGGGATGAGATGTTCCCCAATACATAGTGAGATGTGGCTGTAAGGTTGGTGTGAGGAGTGGATCCCAATTCCCCCATGGGTGCCTCACATCCACATCTCAGTGTGCATTGGGAACATCTCCCGTATCACATTGGTGCCCCACACAATGTGCCCCACATGCACATCTTAGCATGCAATGGGAACATCTCCCATACTTATCATTGCAAGATGTTCCCAATACACACTTGGGATGTGTTGTGGGGTGCGCTTTGTGGGACACTGATTTGAATTCTATCAATAGGAGATGTTCCCAAATAGGGGTGAGCATGGGCCAGTTCAGTTAAGTTCCATAGTAGAACCTAGAACCTACCCTGTAAAGGTCGGTTCTAGTTTTTGGAATTGAAACCTACCCTATGAAGGTCGATTCTAGGGTTGGTTTTGGCCTTAGTGGTTTTGAGTTCAGTTCTAGGGTCTACCCATGGAACTTGTTCTTTCTTCACTCCCTCACTTCAAAAAAAAAATGAAGCATTTTTTTAAAATCTTGATTTTAAGTAAATATAATATATAGTTTAAAACTTATGTTATCTTTATTGGTTAAATTAAGTAACTTAATATGTAGATTATCATTATATGGTTCAAAACTTATAATTTGATTTTAAATTATGTAAAGATTACCTTTTACATTATTTGTTATACACATTAAGATATTAAAAATGAAAACAAATGATCAAATAATTTAAGTAATTCAATTTTCAAGTGAGACCATGCCCCTTGTAACTATGAGTGTTTGGGTTCAAATCATTATATCACAAAAAGTATTTTGGAGTTTATTTCAAAGCAAGCTCAATTCCAAGATAGGTTCCATCAAGGTCGGTTCATCGGGGTCAGTGTGGATAGGGTAAACCCATAAACTCTAGGACTGACTGGATGAGAATTGGTTCTATGAATTTAAAACCAGATCCTACTTGTAATAAATTGGATAGAATTGATTCAAGAGCAATTCGAGTTCGATTCTATTGAATTCCAGGTAAAAACTACCAATTTGCTAAACCCTACTTCCCAATACATGATTGAGGTGTGCTGTAGGGCGCTTGTGGGGCATGCTTCGTGCGCGCAGATGTGAATTCCCTCACAACACCTACGTATGTACATGAGTTTTGTCATATACAAGGAGATGTACCCAAAGCATGACTAGATGTGTTGTGAGGAGCAAGTCCGATTCGAAGAAAGCGTAGAACACTAAGTGTATTCCACATCTCTACCGGTGTATGCGTATAGATTATGATTTATGAAAATCATATTGTAAGGGCAAAGATTAAAATATTGATACGCGGTATCGGGCTGCATCGATACAAGCCCAATGCCCAAGCACGCATTAACTACATAGCCATTTGTTATTTCGTATTAGTAAGTGTAATAAAATAACTTTTATTAAACTTAATATTTACATCCAAACAAAAAATAACACACATTTATTTTCAAAAACTTCAACTATAAATTAAAAAGAATATTCAAAATTAGTATTTTATAAATAAATAGAATAAATAATTTATAAAATCCACACATATATATATATCAAAATTTAATTTTAATTTTAAAAATTTATACAAATAAAATATTCATAATAGAATAACTATTTTAATACTTAAGTTTTATAAATTTGCATATGGTATATATCTTAAATTTTTATAAATTATTAATTAATAGTTTAATTTACATTAAATAACAATGTATTTATTATTTACAAAAGTAAAAGTATTGTTTACAAAGTATTTGAAAATATAATATAGATTGAATCTATCAAATCCATTAATCTACATTTTATATAAAAAATAAATTTTAACTTCAAAGTTTTATAAAAATGAAATATTAATAATGGATTCATTATTTTAGTAATTAAAATTTATGAATTTTCATATGATATGCATTTTCAAAATTTTAATAGATTTGATATATTTTAAGTTAAGATTATATATTTTTATAAATTATTAATTGATATTTTAATTTACATTTTAAAATAACATATTTATTGTTTATAAAAATATAAATATTATTTATC